ATATTTTTATAGTTATTTTACATTTATTGTATTATTTTCATTTATTTAAAAATATATAAACAAATGCATATTTTTGATTTATTTACATTTGATTTATATTTGCTTTCTATTTATTTATGTTATTTTGATTTATTTAATTTATTGAGTTAACCATTTAACACTTGCCACAAAGTGAGCAACTCATTTAGTTCGCATCTTAATTTTGATTATGAATTTGTAAAATATGCTGCAACAGCAACAGCAACAACCAATTAAACAGACCTAGCCGACAACAAACAAAACGCTAGCAGCAACAGCAACAGCAACAACAACAACAGCAACAGGAGCAACAACAAATCGTCAAACAGCCGAAGTCGAGAGCCAAAGCCGAATAACGCAGCAGCCGAAGGACTCACACAGCTGACGCTAGCTGGCTATCTGTGTGTGTGTGTGTGTGTGTGTGAGTGTCTGCCTTCTCGTGCTGGCTATAAAATACGCCATGCAACACGAGGCGTTCATCAGTTCGCATTTGTGCTGCACACGTGACGGATCGCAGCTACAATTATTTTTGTTTCTCATTCAAACAAGACAGCAACAGCAACAACAACAACAACACAAACTCTTGAACATCGCAACTCGTCGCGTTTGTTGTTTGTTGATTTCTCCTCTCGTTTTTTTTGTTTTTTTGTTTTTTTTTTTTCATGTTTACAAATTGGTTAACTGGCAGCAGCAACGGCAGCAATGCCAGCAGCAGCAGCAGTCGCCTGCCGGCTCCTGCCAGCAACAACATGTCCATGGTTGGTGTTGGCGGCGTCATGTCCACACCGCCGGATGTTATCCTGGAAGTGGGTCCGGCGCCAAACAGCGTCCGCTTCGTGGCGCACGCCCTCGTCCTGGGCATGCACAGCGGCTACTTGCGCTCGGCCATTCGCATGGACGAGGCAACGGCAACGGCGGCAGCAGCTGCCGCGGCAGCGGCCACAGCCAATGCCAATACGGCGGCAACTGTTGCTGCTGCGGCGGCAGCAGCAGCAGCAGCCGTTGCCGCTGCCGCAGCAGGAGGCGAATTGCTGCTCTACTTGAGCAACGTGACGGCCGAGCAGTTCGCCCCGCTGCTCACCTACATGTACACGGGCTACTTGGACCTCAACGTGGACAACATATTCGCCGTGCTGCTGGCCACGCACGTGCTGCACATGCCGCGCGCCCTGGAGATCTGTCGGTAGGCATTCGCATCGACTCATCCCACTTTGCTTTGCAGTCTTGTTTTATTTATTTACTTTTGTTTTTTGATCGCTCCACTTTCTGCTTTTGCACCACTCAGTTCGTTCTTGGCACGCGCCCAAACGGAGGGCTACCTCAGCGGCAGCCCGGCCAATCCGCATCAGCTGCAGCTGGCTGCTGCCTCAGCTGCTGCTGCCGGCGGTGGCGCCTCCAAGATCATACGACCCATTGCCAGCAAAGCGACTCTGCCGAATTTCGGATTCTTGCCGGCGCCAGCATTGCCGCCACCRCCGCCGCCGCCGCCAGCACCAGCGCCAACAATTGCTGCCGCAGCCAGCTACTTGCAGCAGCCGGTGGAGGCGGAACAAATGCAGCTGCAGCTGCAGCCAGCTGAGCCCTTGACGCTGCAGCAGCCCGACGAGGAGGAGGAGGAGGATGTCGAAGTGTTCATCGACAGCAACACGGCCACCGACAATGAGCTCGACACGGAGGACTGCAACGTGTCGGTGGTGAGCAGCCTGGCTAGCAGCAGCGCGGCCAGCAGCCTGAACATCGAGCGTGTCGATACCAGAACAAAGCAGCCGACGCCGACGCCAACGGCAACGCCGACGCCGGCGTCACCACCGCCGCCACCAACAGCAGCTGCAGCAGAAGCAACAATTGCTGTTACAACGGGCGCGCACAAGCAGCGACGCGGCAACAACAACAGCAGCAACAACTCGCGCAAAAGTCAAAGCAAACGCAGCAGCAACTGCAACAACAGCAGCAGCAGCAGCAACAGCAACAGCAACAACAACAGTCGATTGCCGGTAGCCAAGGCAACGTTGCCTGCATCGGTGCAGCTGGAGACAGCAACACAAGCATCAAAGTTCATCATCGATGTGGCCAGCTGCGATGGGCCCGTGCGCTTTCGGCGCATACTGAATACGGCGTACGGCCACAAGCCGGACAGCAGCTTCGTGGCGGGCGAGCAGCAGCGGACGCAGCAGAGCGTCAGCTACTCGTTTCATCAGCAAATGGCGCGCGCCATTAGCAGCCAGCAGCGACAGCAGCAGCAGGAGGAGAACGAGAACAGCAGCGATGCAACAGCAGCAGCAACTGCCGCAGCAACAGCAACTGCCACAGCAACTGCAACAGCAACTGCTGCTGCCACTAATCAGCGCAAGCAAACGCATGCAGAGTTGTTCGTCTGCGTCTACTGCAAACACACATTCAAGTCGCAATATTGCTATCAGAAGCATGCCAAGCGCCACTTGAATCCGCTCAGCTTGGACAAGAAGCTAGCGGAGACGCCGGACAGCGGCAGCGGCAACGAATTGCTTTGCCTAACAGCAGCAACAACAACTGCTACAGCAGCAGCGGCAGCGGCAGCAACACCCACAGCTACAGCTGCAGCGGCTGCAACAGTTGTTGATGGCAATCTGGCTGCAGCAGCGCTGCTGCGCCGCGAGGTGCGTCCCCTGGACATGAATGTGCAGTATTATCCGTGCAAGACGTGCGGCAGCAAGTTCCCGAGCTATTATTTTGTGCACAAGCATCGCAAGCTGTGCCATGCCGATGAGCTCGAGAACAACAACAGCAGCAGCAACAACAACAACAATAATAATAGCAGCAACACCAACAACAACAACAATTTGACTAGCAGCAACAGCAACAGCAGCAGCAGCAACAGCAGCGGCAACACCAAACGTGAAGCAACAACAGTTGCCAGCTCCTTGGAGGCAACGAACTAATCTAATCAAAACGCATATCGATAAATTATCGAATTTAGCACGCGCACACACAGACACACACGCACATACAATTTTTTTTTTTGTGAATTGCTCTAAAGTTTGAATAAATAAAAGTTAAATATACAAAAGAAAATTGTGAACAATCGATAACTGATTCAATGGCATGTCGATAAATAGTAAACGAACACCATATCAAGTGTAGTCCATAAATATTTAGTGCTTTCAACACTTTTACTAAGAATCGAAACAACTATCAGTGTTATCGATAGAACAATTTATCGATAATATATCAAAGTTGAAGCTAATGCAACATATTTGCAACAAATCAATTGTATTGACGATATAACTGTAGAAAACAACCACTATAACATTTGCATTGTTATCGATAAGTGCAATTATCGATCGACCCTGGTATCGAGCGCAACAATTGTGATTTCCTATAATCAAATCAATTTTCTACTACTATACACAAAAATATGTATTAGCTATCGGTAATACTTATCGATGAGACGAATCGATTGCTGTCAATCAAACTGATTAACGAACATTTGACTCTGAGATCAGTTTCGATTAATTGAAAGTTGAACACAGTTCGAACGCGTCGTCTCCTTCCCTGAATGTGAGCACCCCTCGGGCATGCCGCAACCCTTCAGCATGCCTCGTGCTACTTGCTTCTCGCTTCTCGCTCTTTTGTGGCAAAGATGGCGTCGGTTAACGCAAACAAACGTTGCGGCAATTTAATAATTAAATTAAATCACTTGCATAATAAAAAAGAAATTTACAAAAATTTTAATTTAATTGCGTTTAATTAACTCGCCAGGGAGATGACAGACAACAAACGGTCATGTGGAGGCAGCGGAAGGAGAGAGATGAAAAGAAAGAGAGAGAGAGAGAGGAAGAGTGAGGCTGTATGAGGTGAGGGGAAGAGATGAGAGGAAGAGGAGGTAAATCGGTCGAGCTATAGCTGGAAGCAAACCGCAACGCGTCGCGCTGAATGACAGACGGACAGATGGCTAGAGACCCATCCCACTCCCATACTCCAACAGCCCACTCCTCAGGGCTCACACCCACGCACCACCCACTTGGACCATGGCGAGAACGTGGCAGGCACCAATCAAGCATCCACAGGCTGAGCTGAGCTGAGCTCAGCAGCAGTTGGACTTGAGGCGTATGCAGATGCATCAACTATTCATCGGGGACAGTCGAAAGAAGTCAAACAAAAGAGAACAGCAGCAGGAGGACGAAGGAGGACGAAGGACGAACGCGAGCTGGGGTAAACACTTCATATTCAGATTCCACACAAAGGGCAGAGAGCACGATAATTGGGAAAGCGCGAAATGCATTTTTGATGAGCCACAAAGGACGTAGGACGAAAGTCCAGCAGCAAATCCAGTTCAATTGCAGCTGCAGCCGTTAAAAGAAAAACAGGTAAAGCTCTATAAGCTCTGTAAAATCAGAAAGCTTAAAGTACAACTGTAAGGGCTCTAACAAGCTTTAAAGCTATATATGGGCTAAGCCATGAGAAAACTTGCAAATAACTGCAACCAGAGCTTGAACAGGAGACGCTTTAAGCTTCGAGCTTTAGCTGCAATAGTAAATGGATGAACTAAAACGCTTTAAAGCTCTAAAGGACCGACAGCTCAAAATGTTTACAACTTCACTGCAGCTCAGCTGAAGAATGCCAAAGACTTTAAATATCTGAAAGCTTTAAAGCTTTGTAAGTCAATGCACATTTCCCAAAGCTTTCGGTATAAGCTAAGAGAGCTTTTTGGGTGTAAATCTGAGACTCTGAAGTTGGATCTGTAGAATTCTATAGAACATTGATATGTTACATGGGAAAATTTCCAGATCCGTTCGAACTTTTGGCTATATAAAGCTCGGCCTAAACTAGTTAAACAAAACTTTTGGCACTTACCTTTGGCATCCAATGCCAGAACCTCGGAGGTGTTCAACAAATTGCCCGCTCGATCTGTGACCATTGGCGTAGATGTTGACGTTGTCGCTGGCCTCGTTCCGGCTCCAGTTCCAGTTCCGGTTCCGGTTGCGGTTCCCGTTGCCGTCGTCAACGGCGACGATGCTGTCGATATCAGCGATGCGGCGCTAATGAACATCGTCGATGAGGTCGACGACGACGAGGATGAGGACGAGGAGGCGGGCGCCAAGCCGGAGCCGGCGCCTTTGCCAATGGACGAGATTTGATTGGACGCATCGCTGGCGTTCAGTTTGATGTTGCTGTTGTTGTTGTTGCTACTGTTATTGTTGTTGTTGTTGTTATTATTGTTGTTAACGTTGGACTCGCCAGGCGCCAGCTCAAAGCGTTTCTTCTTGGCATCGCTGTGGGAGATACGAAAAGAAATTTCATTAATATCGAATCAAGAAATTACATATGCGATGCGATCATTCATAGATATAGCCGAGCAGGATAGCTAATCGTTTTCTATCTGTTCAATATACCAATCCAACGCTACATTGCATTGTTCAATATACCAATCCAACGATACATTGCATCATTAATAGCTCATCGATAGCTATCATTCCTTTAACGATTACTGTTTTATTGGCATTGTACTTATTCGATATTCGATAGTATTACTTTCTCTTACTTTAAAGGATTTATATTTTATTTATAAATTTAATTTATTTATCGATCTCTTATCTGGCTATATATCGACAGCTAATAGCTTCCTATTAATAAGCATTTTATCAATATTATTAGTTCGTATCGATAACTTTACATGTTCTAACTCCTCATCTATTTAGCATCAATTATAATATGTTCAATGTATTTAGAACCATTACTCTCTTATCGATAAGTGTTTTGTGAATAACATAATTTCCTATCGATAATTTAACTTTCTCTAACTCTTTTCGATTTAGTAGCTTTGATCTTATTTATCGACTGATAGAACTCTGCTATCAAAAAGTATTTGATCAATATCATTAATTTGAATCAGTAACTTTACTTTCTATTAAATGGTTTTATTTGTAAGCCCGTACCAACCTATCGATATATTTGTCAACAGTTAACCTGTCTGTCTTTGTCTGATACTGCACTCTGCTATCGATAGGTGTTTGATTAAAATCATTGATTTTGTCTCAATAAATTTTATTTTCTCTCAAACATTTCTATATAAAAGACAATATCAAATTATCGATATTAGCTTTACTTTCGTTCAAACAAGTGTATTTAAATGCCAGTATCATGTTATCGATATATTTCTCAACAATTATTCTGATTGACTAACGATATTGCATTCGATCAATATGCATGGCTTGCCTCAATAGCTTTACTTACACTCAAAAATTTCTATTTATAAGCTAGTATCAACTTATCGATATATTTATTGACTATATTTGATCAATGCTGTATCGATATCTTTACTTTCACACACTAAGGCCTAACCACATGTCACATTTTTGCAATGTAATCGATAGCAATTCGATCCCTGCCCGATCGATAACTCACCTAACGTCGGCATGCAGCTCATTGCCGGCACCAAGTCCCTCCACTTGGGCCGCCTTCAGCTTCTGGCCCAAATAGTTGCCGGCCGTGGTGGCCGTGGTAAGCGTTTGCACGCCGCTCACCGGCTCCGTGGCTCCAGCTGCCGCATTGGGCACAGCAAAGCCAGCAGCAGCCGCTGATGCTGATGCTGCCGATGCTGCTGCTGCTGCTGCTGCTGTCGCTGCAGTCGACGTCGTCTTTACGATTTTATCGCCAGTTGCATTTGTCGAGGTTGCAGCGGCTGCCGTTGCAGCAGCGCCCGTTGCAGCATCATCGATGCCAGCGGGGGGCGCGGGCGCCTTCACGTTGGCCATGACGACGCTCTGATAGCCAGGCTTAAAGCCATTGATGGCCACGCTAACCGCTGGCGTTGCCGTTGCCGTTGCCGTCGCATTGCCAGATGTYGCACCAGTTGCTGCAAGGAGAAATTCAAAATTAGCGAGTCTCGGCAGGGGTTGAAATCCACTTCCACTGTAGCCACTTACCACTGTAGCCATCGGCTGCCGTTGCTTTGCTCTTGCCGGCCAGCTGCTCATCCGTCTCGACCGGCTGCTCCGCTGCCTTCACTGCCTTGCCATCGCCTGGCTGGGACTTGGATGCCTTGGACGTGAGCGCAGCAGCAATCGCAATGGCAGCAACAGTCGCACCAGCAGCAGTTGCTGCAGCTGCCTCGCCAGCAACATTTGCCGACGCACTTGTTGCGGCTGTTGTTGCCGTTGCTCCTGTTGCTGCTGCTGCTGCTGCTGCTGTTGTTCCTGTTGCTGCTGCTGCTCCTGCTGCTGTTGCTGTTGCTGGCGCTTCCTCCTCAGCGGTTTTGGCTTTGGCGTCGCTGCTGCTACCCGTTGAGATCTCCGTTTTAGCTGCTGCTGCTGCTGCTGCTGCTGTTGCATTCTTATTCGCTCCAGCTTGCGTCTTGCCTGCATCCGCTTTGTCCGCAGTTGTTGTTGTTGCTGCTGACGCTGACGCTGCCGTCGCTGCTGCTGCTGCTGCGGCGGCTGCTGCATTTTTGGCCACCTTTTCGCTGCCCGCCGCCGCTTCGGCAGCTTTGCTAACGGCACTCGCCTTCTCGGCGGCACACTCGGCCGCCTTGGCGGCATCAGCGGCTGCCTTCTCGGCGACGCGTTCCCGTTCGGCGGCACGCTCGGCCCGTTCGCGTTCCGCCACGGCGCTGGAGCGATTGCCGGACTTTTGTTGCTGTTCGCGCTGCAGGCGCGTCGTGACGCCCGTGGTCAGCGAATCGATGATGCACTGCGGCAGCTGGGCCTGCGCCTTGGCCGGATTCCGGCTGCTGCGTGTGCGTTGGCGGGATTTGCGCAGCAGCTGCTTGTAGTTCTCCGTCTTCTTGCTGAGGTAGTAATAGCGTACGCAATCCTGCGGCGACTTGCGATCGAGGCTGGCGGCGATCATGCCAAAGTTCTTCGGATGCTGCAGATACTTCTCCTTGAACGTCTCCTTCTCGCCGGCCGTCCACAGATTGAGTGCCTTGCGCTCCTCATGGACGACAATCATGTTCTCGATGCGCCCGTTCTCGTTGTGGTAGGCGCAGCGACGCTGCCGGGCATCGTGCATCAGGGGCGGTATCACGGCATAGGAGCGCATCTTCTTGTCCTCGAGTGCCTGCTCCTGCAGCCCGTCCATGATCTCCTCGAGGTCCGCCTCGGACTTGATGCGCGAGCCGACACGATTGAAGCGCTCCTTGTCCTCGCGCTGCTTGCGCAGCTCCGTGAACACCTTCTCGAAGAACTCGCGATTCTTGGCCTCGCGCGCCTTGCGCTTCGCGCTGCCCTCGGCCCGTTCGCAGCGGCGCTGCCAGTCGGCCTGATCCTTGGCATACTTCTCCACCAGGCCCTGGTTGTACTCCCAGCGGTCGGCCTTCATCTTGCGTATGTGCACGAGCAGCGGCGCCCGCACCAATGTCTGATGCCGTTTGATCAGCTGCGACAGCGCCTCCACGTCCAGCGGCTGATTGTACAGCGGCAGCCAGGGGCGTGTCATGCTCTTCACGCCGCCCGCCTCGCTCACCGCGGAATGTTGTGCGGCGGCCGTCTTGCGGTTCGCCTCGTATACGCGCTGGGCCAGCAGCTGCGTGCGCCAGCCCAGCTCCATATACCGCTCATTGCCGCTCTCAGCTGCCGCCTGCTCGGCGGCCGCCTTCTGCTGCTTAACCGTCGCCGCCGCCGCCGCCGCCTCGTCCAGCAGCGCCTTCTCCTTCTTGCGCAGCGTTACCATTGCCGTTTCGGCATACTCGATTTCATTGTCAACGCGCTGGATTTGCAATAGCAGATCCTCCTTGGCGCTGTTGTTGTTGCTGCTGCTGCTGTTGCTGCTGTTATTATTGGCATTGTTGCTGCTGCTGCTGCTGCTGCTGTTAATGTTGCTGCTGCTGCTGGCGCCGCCTGTGCTGCTGCTGCGTCCACGCTCCTCCGCATTGTCGCTGGGCAGCGTTGGTGAAATGGCCTCCACCTGCCGTAGGTAATGAGAGAATTAATAGGCAAACATCTCAGAAAATTGGGGTGCAGTGACATTAGCTGAACGCGATTCGATTAAATTATCGATGTTTATCGATATCATTGCTATCATTTTCTTTTCTGTTAAATAAGATATCCCCTATTCAATCTTAAGCTTTTTAAACAAATTGAAGACGAGCTTTCATTAGAATGAGGGTGAAAAACGAATTTCGAAAGCACATTAAAGCCTTCACATAGCAATGAAATTGTTGGCAAAAGCTAATTATATCTCAGATAGCTCATTGAATCAGTATATTTTGTACTACAATTGAGCAACTCAAGTAAAGTAAAGCTTTCAGAAAGCACATTGAAGATCTGAAAAAGCACATTAAAGCTTTTATCAAACACATCAAAGCTAGATACATCCCCTATAGAGCTACTTGACATAACTATAATCATTGTCTAATAAGCGATATTGCTTTATATAGATCTTTAGGTCGTATTTGAAGCTTTAATTGCTGGAATACAAAAGAACACATTACACATTCTACAATTAAGATGAAGAGTTACTCTAATTGTGTATATCCTCTCGATTAAAAATAGATCTTCTCTAGCTATAGCAGTAACTCTAGTTGTGTATGTCTTCTCTATTAGATATAAATCTTCTGTAATATAGATTTGCTCATATCACTCATAAAAATGAATGGATTTCTAAGAACCATCTATCTTAATGTTAATTCCATGATAAGGATGAGAACTGACATTATTATTATTCTTTGTTATAGATAGAATTTCTCTAGTTTTTCACAAAAATGAATGGATGTGCATCTCTTTTGCTTAGTCTTATATCGTAGTTAAGTTAGAAGTGACTCTAGATAAAGAAGTAACTCCATTTGTGTATATTCTCTCTATTAGAGATAGATAGATCTTCTCTGATGTAGATTTGCTCAAATTTCTCACAAAGTTTATGGATTTCCATCCTTGCTGAATCTTTATTCCATGAAAAGGATGAGAAGTGACCCTATTTGTATATACTCTCAATATGAAAGGTTCGTCTTATCTGTTATAGATTGAATTTCTCAAGCTGCTCCTTTGCTTAATCTTAATTCGATGATTAATCTATTGTTCAGCTAATGTCATTCACTGGCTTCAATCTCAACGATTCGTCACCTGTGGATGGTATGCTTCTGTGCTACTTGCTGCGGCTGCTGCTGCCGCCGCTGCTGCAGCTGCTGCTACTGAAGCTTGGGCGCTGCTGCTGCTGTTGCTGCTGCTGCTGCTGTTGTTATTGTTGTTGCTGCTGCTGTTGCTGCTGCTGGTGGAGAAGCTGATCAGCTGCGCATTGGATGCTGACACCGTTGGCGGCGGCACCATGCCACGTGCCGCATGCACCTGCGACGTCAGCTGTTGCAGCTGCTGCTGCAGCTGTGGCAGCGATTCCATCTTGAGCTGCTGCATGGCCAGCGGCGTCAGCACTGAGCCATCGGGCATGTGCAACACGCGCCGCGACTGCTCCGCCTCATGATTGCTCTGCCTACTGTTGTGTTGCTGAGCTGGCGAGGAGCGTTGCTGCTGCTGCTGCTGCTGCTGTTGCTGGTGTGGCAGGTGATTCATGTTGCTGACATTGGCGTCGCTCAGGCGCTGCTTCTTATAGGGCTGACCCACGCTGCCCGGCGGCTCAGACAGCGACGGATGTTGCTGCTGTTGTTGCTGCTGCTGCTGCTGTTGCTGCTGGCGCTGTCCAGCCGCTGCCAAGGCTGCGGCATTGGTCAGGTATTCGTTGTTGTAATGCAGCGACTGGTAATGCGACATGGCCTCCATGACGAGAACGCCGCCGGGCTGGGCGCCTGGCGGTGCCATGCTGCCGGCCACTTGGAGGACGCCGCCGCCGCTGCTACTGCCTGGGCCGGCGGTTGAGGCGACAACGCCAATGCTGCCGCCGCCGCCGCCGCTGCTGCTGCCCGGGCCGCCTTTGCCACCGCCAACGGCAGCAGCGGCGGCGGCCACCGTCGCTGCACGCGCCGCCCGCTGAATCTCCGGCACCGACGCCTGCAGCTGAGGTATCCGCATATATGGACTCTCCCGATGATAGTTGGCCACCGGCGCAATCCCAATGCTGTACGCCGGTGGCTGTATAAAATGTTGCGGCGCATCCGCAAACTTGGCGTAGCTATTCGCCGCAGCTGCTGCCGCCGCGCTGCCCGGTCCAGGACGCGGAGGCGACAGCGGACTAGCTGCCGACCTCGACGACTGCTGCTGCTGCTGCTGTTGCTGCTGTTGCTGTTGCTGCTGCTGTTGCTGCTGCTGTTGCTGCTGCTGCTGCTGTTGTTGTTGTTGCTGATGCTGTTGATGGTGCTGCTGCTGGTGGTGGTGGTGATGCATTTGCTGCTGCTGCTGCTGCTGCTGTTGTTGTTGCTGTTGCTGGTGCTGCTGCTGCTGTTGCTGATGGGATTGCAAGTGTCCGAGGCTCTTGACATACGGCTGCTGCTCCATTGTCCTGTACGACCAGTGGGGGAGAAAGAACAACAGATTATTAGATTTGTGTGTAGGTATGCGATATATCTTACGATATATCTGACGATATATAGCTATTAATCAAGCTAACAACCTTTGCAACTCGGACCGATAAACTATTCATTCAGTCATTCATTTCACTCTATATTTATATTATAGAACCTAATGTACGTTTGCGATATTTATAACGATATATTTGACGATATATGTGCAGCTAATGAAAAAACTATGCAACTTGGATTGCTTGACTCTCCATTAATTCATTAACCCACTCATTAATTAAATTGCATCTATTTTTATATTTACAGTTCATTCATTCATTGATTTATTCATTCAGTCATTCATTCACTCATTTATTCCTTCATTTATTCATTCGTTTATCATTATATTCAAACTATATCTATTCGTACAGTTCACTTCATAAATATCGATCAATATCGATTCATGTTCAGCGCAATATCGATATTTCCCTAATGAACAAGTTCAAGTTATTAATTTAGCTAGATATGAACTGGATTAGTTCAGCTGCAATGAAGCCAATGCCAATTGAACTAATGGTTCATGAGCTATTAAACGAATCGTTCATGAGCAATTGACAACATTTTTTAAATAAATTTATATTAGTTCTATAGTTCACTGTTTTGACTAAGTAGGCTAGTGAATTAGTTCCAGCTGTGAGCTATAACATTTAACCTAATACATATATGACCATTTAGAGTTCGCTCGTTTATGAACTACTAAAAATATTAATAAATAATTGATCTTGGAACTAAACTTAACAATCAAGTGAACAATGCATTAGTTTCACACTGTTTGACTGAATGTGTTCCGTTGGTGAACTACATAGCTTAATTAGATATGACCAGCACTAGTTCATGAACTATTAATATTATTGATAATTTACCATAGATTTAAACTAAGCCATCAAGTGAACAATGAATTAGCTCCTTACATTTTATTGACTAAATAAGTTCCAACAACGAACTACATATGACCAACAGCACTAGTTCAGTCTGTGTCTAAAGAACCAATAGTTTATGAACTATCAATGTTATTAATATTGACCCTGAATTAAACGAATCAATTATGTGAACAATGAATTAGTTCCTTAGCTTACATTGATTGGCTGAATAAGTTCTAATGACGAACTACATATAATGAACAGCACTAGTTCACTCTGTTGTATATGCCAATGGAACGAATAGTTCATGAACTTTTGATATCAAAAACACTTAAGCCTAGATAACTAAATAATAAAGTGAACAATGAATTAGTTCTTTAGTTCACACAGTTCGGACTGACTGAGTTAACTAGTTCAAATGAACCTAGTTATAAAGAATTCAACGCAATTCTCCTCCAACATACTTAAAACCAATCAAGCTACAGATGAATCCAAATTCAACAAAATTTTTTTTTTTTGCAATTTCGTCAGACATTCCTGCCTTTTATCTCTTCTTCTTTTTTTTTTTTTTGTGTTTGTATATCTTAAGCCAGCAGGTGCATTCAGTAATCGTTTGAAGGCCAGCTTAAGATGATGATGGCTTTATGAAGTGGCTAAACAGGTTTGACCCCATTGTGCACGCCTGGGCCAATCTACGCTAATCCGAGTGCAGCGCGCATCAATTTGCATAGAATGTAAAATTTATTAGTTGCATTTGAGCGATGCGCCTTAATGCTGCCTCTTCATATTTATTGAGGACACGAACCCGGCCGGCCGGCCGACAGCTTCACACATGTTGCACACGTTGCGGTGCGAATGTGAAGCGACCAAAATGAGCGAGAGAGCGAGTGTATAGCTACGCTGCTCGTTTTCGTGAGCTGTGTGCGCCTGTGTATGTGAGCGAGCGAGTGCGACACAGCAGCATAACAGTTCGACATGCTCGAGCAACATGTGTGCGGCGAACGGCAACATCGAGCGTGCTGCGGCAACATGTTGCCGCAACATGTGCACGACGAACATGTTAAGCAGCAACATCAGCCATTCTGCTGCCGCTGCTGTTCGTTCGCTGCTGCTGCTGCTGYTACTTCTGCTGCTGCGGCCTATGCCATAATCCACCCCAAGTCAGCCGTCATTATTAAAATATCTTTTTTAAACGGTTGCGTCGCAGCTGCTGACGCTTGGGCCGTTGCGTTTGAGTTGTGATTAGCGTGCGACGCGTTTGACCCGACAGAGCGAACGTCACATACGTCAGGCAAATGTTGTCGCCAGTGGGAGGGGTAGCCATGAGAAACAGACACCCGCATACACAGCTCGGTCGGTTATTAATTCATTAAATAATAATGACACATAGACAGAGCGAGAGAGAGAGATAGATAGACAGAGTTTAGCGACGTTGCGCAGAGCAGCGGAATGCATAGCTGCGGCGTTGCCAAACTTCAGTGATAGCTATTTTTAAAGAATGAAGCATGCGAAACAACAGCACGCTTTAAAGCTGCGCTACCACCCCCTCACTGCACACTCATTCATACACACACACACACACATACACACACATTCAAATAAATAAATATGTTTGTGTATATGTGCTGTGGCGGCGTTGGCGACGGCGGCTTCTGTCTGGCTCATTCAGCTTTAAAATCAAGCGACGATGACGACGTCGACGCTGCTGCTGCTGCTAGCTGCCATTTCTCATCAATCATATCGACCTACAGCAATACACACACACACACACACACACACATCTGTACATACAATGTGTGCATGCAAATGAAATTGAGCCTCTCGCACCCCCGAGAACTCGACACACACACACACACACACAGATTTCCTTTCGTCTGCAATCACACCACGATGTTGCTACCCCCCGTTGCCCAGTGCCTGTGCCCGCGTTGCCAACGATTGCCAATTTGCGAGCTCCTTTGAATTCGAGTTGCAAGCTTCGAGTTGCCAGCTTCGAGTTTCTTTCGTTTTGATGGCTTACCTGCAACGAGTAAGAGAAAGAGAGAGAGAGATAGTGAATTAGTATGCGTGTGCGTTTATTATTGATTGCATAAGGCTTTAATTATAAAATAGCTTTCTATTTGCAATTTAATATTCCATTCCATGGCATTCCATTCCCTGCCATGGCATTCCCTTCTATGCCATTCGCATTTCTGGCTTGTCTCTTATCGAATTTCATTTGTATTTTCTAAGGTATATTTAATTAACTTTAGGAGCCATTTAATATGCCATTTCATTGATTATTATTTTCTACTTAGACATAAGATATAGATATATGTATGTATGTATTTACTATATATGTATATATA